CAACCACAACCCCGACTCCCACATTCTACTGCGTCTGAGGGTGCCATTATAAAATAAATGTAGATAACGATTTTTAAAAAAAATTTCACTACAAGAATAAACAGTGCGCTGCAGCATGCAGCAGGCCGATTATCTATCACGCGAGTCTGTTTCAGTGTCAACAGTGTATGTGCGTAAATGCGTAGCAGGTGGTCTGCATGCTTGAGAACTGCGCAGTTAGTTGTGGATTTTGTTCTCTCTTTTGTCTGTCTCTCTCATTTTTTGGGGGGGTAGGGGTGGTAGATGTTGCAATAATATATTCGACTGACTAACGGACCAGGACCGACAACTAGGCGAAAACGTATTGTGGTTCGGAGTAACCTTAGAATAACTTTGGATACCGGCAGAATGCACTTTTGCGGATGATTGATTTCATCGTTACCACGCCCACCCCCGCCCCCTCTCCCCCTCGCTTTCTCCGACCCAGTTCACTAGAGAGAAAATAATATTAGCCCCAGGACTTATTTTCTGTTTTAGTTTAGTAAAAGTTTTACGGTACTTGAAACACAACAAGGTCACGTAAATGCCGAAGATTACAAGAGAGTAACTAACACAAAGGATATGGAGGAGCGATAAGGACGATATATGTTGATAGGGAAAGAAGGAATAAACTACGCCAGAGCTCCCGCCAACCACCCACTCGGACTTTATGAAGGAATTGTCCGTACCAACTACATGTATAAAATAAGACACAGCAAGTCAGTTGGGTAAAAGTAAACTTTAGCCTTCCATTCGAAAGTCACTTGACCTCGTACGCACATCCAGGGTTTCTACTCTCCGTGGGTAGCTGTGACGTCATACGAGAAAGACGCTTGTTACTTACTTTAAGAATGGGGAGACAAGACATTCCATACGAAAATGCCTTACACAATGTGAAACTCAAAATCTATTACGTCAAATTTAACTAAACTAGGCACTTACTAAGTAGATAGAACTTTGTAATTCGGGGAGTAGCGAGGTACTTTCGATTGTCCATTTTGCTTTCGCTATGAGTGTACTATTGCAGTTCGTTCATAGTTCTTTCTCACAGTCACGGGACATGACTTAGTGAATGGTCTGTCGAGCACCGTCTAATCAACATAATATATGGAGCGAAACAGCTGCACTCTCATCATGTCTGCGCGCAGAACTCAGACGTTTCTGTAATAAACAGGATGATATTACAGCCATATAATATTATTATTATTATTATTATTATTATTATTATTATTATTATAATTT